CTCCGCATACATCCCTGTCATGGTCGTAAAACATTCTGCTCCCACATCAAGGAGTTTAGTGTAATTGCTTTGCTCGTCAAGCAAGGGGACATGGGACAAAACTAAATCTAAGTAAAGGAGGGGAGCAAGTGTCCTTGAGTGCAGGCAGTGTGTGGCTTGTGGTAACTCTGAGGAGGGAGATTATCGGTTTGTGCCAGCTCCACATTTCTCAACGTAAAGTTTTGGCTTTAGGTTACCAGTCAAGGTGAGAAGGGGTTTTGTAATTCAATTCTTGTGGACACGCTGCACTTATTTAAAGTAACATTAGCCACCCACTTTTAATCCTGCTCAGTTAAGATTGTAATAAACGGGCTCGTCTTGCAGCACTTTAGTCAATCAAGTTTATTGCTGTGAAAGTCCATGATGAGGCTAATGAAAAGGAATTGTGGATTGCAGTAAACAGCTTGGAAATCAAGTTCTTTCCTCACAGTTTAGTTAAAGCTCTTTAATCCCAAGATCCCAAACTTTCGAAACATTGCAAAAATCTTTACAAAACATTTAAACAACATGAAAAGAAGAACAAAAATGTAGTGTAGTCTTAGTGAAAACCCACGTCATTTTCAGTACAGAGCTAAAATCGGCTAAACGGAGCCACAGGGAGATGTCTCAATAATCAATACCCTCACCTAGTAGGTCTGAAAGAAATCTGTACACCACAACCACTTATGCTAGACTCTAATGCTTATATTGCGCTAATGCAAAAAAAACAAAGCAATGAAAGCCGTTGACTTTCAGCTTCAAACTAAAGGCATTTGTTTCTGCAGGAAGAGGCTTGATGCATTAAAATTAAAGTTGAGTCGGTTGAACCTGAAATGATGCAGTGTCAACCAATCACATGTATTTGTCTCACCGGATTTCATTCCATCTAAATGAATTCCGTTAGCCAGTTCACAGTGCTTGTTTAAACACAGTGATTTAGCACAACTGCAGTGCTAAGAAAATCCAACAGCTGGTTAATTAAACAGCTAAGGAAAAACACGTTATGCACTGTACAACACTGTCCTTAAAATATATATAAGTAACTGCCGGTCAATGGTAATGCAACGGCAGACTTGGCAAAACTGGCTAACCAGTCGCCATTGCCATGTTGTGGTCACCCAGTATGCATTTACATTTTTTTTAATTTAGTCTCTCGTAGTTCGCTGTAACCACATCTGCCATTTGGTATTGATTATTCCAGTAAATATAATTCCTCAGTAGCTAAATAGTAACCATGTTACTGTTGAAATAAATGCCCAAAATATAAACCTTCAAAAACAGAGATGTTTACGACTCATAAAATGCACATCTGGGTCTTTACAATTTGTCCAAAGCACACAGCACATTTTTGACCACTGGAATCTCCAAGCCTTTGAACTGACATTTTTTAAACATGATGGACGAGTTCAACTGGGTCTAGATGAAACATATAACAGTGCTAATGCCCCAAACCAGAATCCATTTCCAAAGTTAAAGCTTCTACGCAGTGAAAGTACTTTTTTTGATTTATTCATTAGGGGAACATTTCCCCCATTCCTTACACAAGGGCAGGAAGGTAAAAGCATTCAGTAGTTTGTCTTTGAGCTGAAAAACTATTTTGAATGTAGTCTTGTTAGTATTCTCAGCCATTGGATGTGTAGCAAACAACCCCCCTTCTGACTGACTTTGCACCGAAGTCCAAGGGCCATGGTTGTGTTGCAGATTGGGATCTGTGCATGCATGTGATTATGTGACCGGATAAGCTGTAAAACATGAAATAAAAGACACAATAGCAAGTAAAGAGATTACCGTATACACAATATGTTTAATTGTCAGCCGACCTCCAGCAAACAACACAGTCGTGGCTGGCTGACACGTCTCTGACCTCACAGTGGGAGTGGATGCAGATGAGGAAAAAGAACGAGAGGGAACGGAGCTTCCGCCCACTCTCAGACTGAGCTACGGCCGTCCTCAAATGTCCCTCGGATCAGCTATGTTTAGTTGTTTAGGATTGTGGGTTAAAGGTCAAGCTGGGCCCTAAACATTTTCTGCACTTCTATGAGACAAAGGGATTATGACTGAGCATGTAGGCAGATGCCTAAGGAGGGTATTCTCTCTCTTTAAGATAGTCTAGTGACCACATATTTAAACCATATTTTACCGTTTTATTTAGATATTGCACCAGAAGAACTTTCCCTATGTGTTGCAATGGAAAGACTTTGAGAATCTTTCTCAGAATTTGACTCCATGATGTCTGTTTTGAGGATAAAGCATTTTCACTTTGGTGGTTTTCCCTCCAAAATACACTTGAATCACCTCCAGGAGATGGAGGGATTCTATTCCCAATAGAGCTTTGATGGAAAATGATATTGGCATGTGTTTAAAAAACTTGCTAAAGAGATACGTCATTCACACACATGCTCGCGTTCCGTCTGTGAGAACATGCTCTCCGCTCTCCATGTGAGCGCTGTTGTAGGCCTGGGAATGAATGAGGCATCTGCCTGAGTTGTGGTTTCTCCTTAGCAACCGTATCAAAGTAAACTGAAACCCACTGGCACTTAGTTACCCATTAAGGGCAAGAATGATTTATTTCAAAGCGATTTTTCCGAGAAAATGTTTGCCTTGCCTCATGTTGTTATGAACTTTCACACAATGGGGCACAAATGCCTGCAGTAAGACGTATCATCGGGTCAAAGGATTTACCGCAACAATAACTGAGTGGAGAACCATGTAACAAGCAGCAACAACCCTACTTGAGTTTTTGTCAAATTCAGACAAAACCATATACACACACCAACGTTTTAGAAATGTGCTTATATTTTCACACAGCTGTAGGAACAATTATTGGTATGCTGAGCTGTAAAATGCCCAATTGTTCTTTTCATGTTTACCCTTTTTTATGGATCAGATTAAAAAGGTGTACATTGCAAAGAGTGCGATTAGTTAGCAATGGGAGATATTATTATTGTCCTTAATGGTGTGCAGACCAACTCTAAAATAATTTAAAATTCTATTACAATGGCTAAAGTGCATATCCAAAACAGAAGGTGTTCTTTACTTGCTTAACACACTCAAATACTTGCATAGAACCTGGGAAACAGGTGTAAACTCTTGAGTTGTTTTTGGTATTTGGGAGAAGATGGAAAAAAAAAGGTGTAAAGGGTAGATATTATTGAAAATTCCTCCTTTAATGTTTCCTCTGAGGGGGATAATGTTACTCATTCTCTTTTCCCACCCAAGTTTTCCAAGCTGATTTGGACCGAGACCAGTTTCTGAGAAGAATAATTTGATCTCAATGGGAGTTCCTGTTTTGCCAAGGGCTTAAATGGTTTCACAGCTTTAGATTACGGCGACAGTATTGTGGGTGTAAGCTTTGATAAACTACTCCAGGATTTTTTCAATGTCAAATATCAGTCCACTGTTAACCAGCAGGTCCAAAACCCCTGAATGGGCACACCCCTCACGTTTGATCCCCACTCACTCAGAGAAATACATGGATTAGGCGAGAGTGAGAGGTAATATATATGCGCTCGCTTAATAAGTATTACTTCCTCAGCTCAGGAAAAGCAGCAGCTTCACAGATTATAGCCAAAACGATCAAAGTCGAGGCACACACAGTTCTCATTTTCCCTGCAGGAACTTTGGTCTCCTCCGGCTGTGCTGCCGTGTTTGAAGGCTGGACGCGCTCTGCAAGTGAATCCAACAGCGTTTCAGAGAGAACAGCGCTCCGTTCTTATTTCTCTGGGGGGGGGAAGCAGAGGACTTGGCTAGATGTCGCAGCCATCACACACACTGCTGACAGGCTGCTCATCCCACACATGCTCTGTGTCACTGTGAGGAGACCTTGCTGCTTCTGCTTATCAACACAGCGCAATTTGATTGATCAATATTGAGAACCAAGTTTTTTTTTTATTTTTTATTATTTGCTCACTCTGGAGTGGTTAACTGATGTGAGCAGATGTGGTTTTTTTCTGACTTTGAGGTGTATAGAACTGATCATGTTTGTTTTACATTATGTGTCGGAGTGATTGCATGTATGAGTCACATATATTTTCAATTTAACATCATTATACAAGTGAGGCCTACTCGGTCGCTGGTTTCAGGGTTCTGCCGATGATAAAGGAGCTGACTCAGCACAGCAGTGAAAGTTCACTGGCTTGAATGCGTTTCATTTTTAGCGTTTGATTAACAGTATGCCCTTATAAGAAAGTGCCAAACCACAGCGAAACCACAGATTTGTTTAGATTTATCTTATTTTCTGTTCCCGGAATAAAGTATTTTTCTGATCTAATGATAAGGGCCTTGCACTTAAAGAGCACCTTTCTAGATTCCCAACCCCTCAAGGTGCTTTACAGTACATGTCAAATTAACAAACACTGATGGCAGAGGCTGCCGATCCAGGTTCCATCTGCACATCAGACACTGACTCCTCCAGGAAGTGCGCCTATTTGGCTGCTGCCTCCGGCGCTACATGAGCATGAGCAGAAGCCAGTTTGATGACCTGTTAGCTCGGATTGGTGCCAGCATCTATCGGTTAGACGCCAACTAACTAATAGGCGTTCAATCTCTGCTGCGGAGCGCCGGTCTGTCTATTTGCGGTGAGTGGCAGCTTCATAAAGTATATTTGTGCTCTGGCAGCAGGACAGCAGAGATGACTAGCTGAGCAGCTCAACGCTGGTTGGCTTTTGCGAAACAGCGTCGGGCGAATTTGTTTTTTAAAAGCCGATTTATGTACACTTCACTTCATGGGTATTTTGCGCCGCCCGTTAAAAATTCGCTTCATCTGCAACCATTCGCGTCTGTGCAATGACATTGCAAGAATCTACTCGTGTGAATATTTGGCTTCGCTTTGAACGCAGAATAAGACATATTACAGTACAGCCTGACTAAAACTGACCCGGTCTTGTAGATTTGAATTTGAAGTGAATGCAATCTCAAGAGAAATCAGTGAAAAAAATATTAACATTTACCAAGGATTTCAAGGAAAGAAAAACTATCTACTACAATGACTCGACTCCAATTAAGTAAAGAATGGTTTGGTCGTAACGTGGTGTATTTGAGAAGTTATTGGGAAGCATTTGGAAAAGGTCATAGAGAAGCTTTTATATGTTATTTTGTACCAACCAGACTCTTTGTCACTCTCTCTCTCACACACACAATTACTCGAAGTCTAATAAGAGGGATTTTTGTCAGGTATGTGAACGAGATATTCTCCTATCATTTGATTGCAAAAGTGGAAAAATAGAGAAAACAAATCACAAATCCTTTTTTTCTGTCACACCCGTCCCCTCGATTTTTCCAAAGTTATGAAATAGAAAACAAGGCAGAACTCAACGCCAACCACCACCCCAATGTTCAAGCTTTATTATTATAACATGTTCAAATACTCCAAATGGAAACCTGCTCTTGCCTTATTAATTACCAGGAATGCACTCTAGAGTTTCCCTCCAAAACCTTAATGGTGAAAAATGTGCCAACGAGAAGCCACAAGGCATTAGAGTGTTTTTTGCTCCCGGTCCGACCTGCGGGCCCGGGTTTCGTCTGCAGGGGCGGAGCCAAACGATGGAGCTATGTAAAAACAGCGGTGGCGGGTTTGGATCTGTGTTCAATTGGTCTTTGAACCTCAGTAATACGAGTTCACCGCCGTAGTTCACGGCATTATCGGAATTTGCACAGAACCATCAACAAACCTTAGTACATACACACCATTGGGGGATGACAGTTGTTTTTTCCAATGGGGGAAACTCCCTAATGGCATGACAATAGAAACCCTTTGTTCCCATGCAAAACAAATGACAGGAGGTTTTGTAGGACATTTATCTACACTGCTGTCATCAATATCACACAGCAAAGTGAATTATTCTTTGTAACTAAGCTATACATGTACAGAAAACATATATACATACGTACTTTTTCTTTGATCATTTAATTATAAAAAAAACATCAGATTAACAAATTATAGTAATAATGAGGCACCATCCTGGGAATAAATAACCACATTGACGTTGACGTCAACGGTCAAAGTACTATTCCACATTACGAGTGAACAATGAAGGTTGGCATTTGAGCAGAGGCTACGTGTCTACCGATTATCACGGTACACATGAACTCACTATCTAAAATTATGAGGAAACTTCTATCATATATAAACATAACTGTCAATCTCGCTAACCAATTTCCCTCACGGTGAGTGATCGATCAAAACAACACTAGAACAGCAGCATGGTACACCATAGTAATATCTATGGAGCAATTATGTAGTTTAGCGGTCCTGCACAATAAGCCTTTGTAATGGTAAACTTAAAAAGTTATTAACAGAATCTGACCAATCTCTGCCCTGACAAAAGCCTAAACAGAGAAGTGGCGGTCGACGCGTTTCTTCAACTTTCCTTTTAAACTTGGCGCTGCTGCGCCAAGCTTTGCCGCGTTGACTTGTGTGGGAAGAGAATCTAAAAATACCTCCCCCCACGAAAAACTCCATTTGCTTATCTGGTCCATTGTTCAGCAGAGTTAAAGATTGTCAACCATGGTTTTCCATAAAACTAACGTTGTTTCTTCACCTGCCTCCACCAACTTGAGTCAGACTGAAGGCGCTGGAGGTGGGCTTGTTGTTTAAAGTCACAGTGACGTCGAGGCCTTAACGCGAGCATCCCCCGTTGGGTCTGTGGCCCTCTTCCAATGACAAATCGGTGCCGAGTTTGGGACTAAAAATCCCCCGCAGGTGTGGTTACGGTCTTGGTTTAATCTTCATAAAAAGACCTTATTTCCAACACATGGTGAGTGCCCCAACACTACTGAGAGGGAACACTTTCCATCTCAATGCTGCACCAAATTCAAAAAATGTATCGTCCCAAATTGGTCACTTACACTTCAGCGACCCAGTGGACGTGGACGCATGAAACAAAAAGTGTCCGTAGTAAAGAGGTCGGGGTTAAAAGATTCTTCCTGTTTGGGGCCTTCAGCCTACTCCCAAGACCAGGCAGGTCCACTATCCTGTGTGGGTAGTATAAAAGAGAGGGAGGAGTCTTCTTGATTACCTCCTTTTCAATGCTGCTTATCTCCATGGGCTCAGGTGGTACTCCTACTCTTCTGCCCCGCCGGTCTGTCGTTGTTGCTGAGAGCTGGGTGAACATATGCCAGCTGTAATTATCTGATGGAATGCAGGTGCAAACAATGCCATGTGCATAGTGGCTTCAGCACCTGAACTGCATAAAAGTCCCTCTATAAACTTCAGTATTAGTTTGGGGATCCGCCCACCCGTGCTATAATGGGGTGGTACTCAGGTTTAACAAGAAAAGGAAAACAGAAGTTACCCGTTAAATTAAATGTCGTCTGACACTTAATAAAGGTTTAAAGGCTGTTTGGACAGTTTTGCTTTTGTTTAATGTTTTTCACTTGTTTTTAAATAAATCATGAATTCCTGCCGAATAAGATATTCTATATTCATCTGCCAGTGCCCTTTGCTGACATTCTGAGTTCTGTGGGTATCACCGTGTAAAGATCTGTCAAAGGTGTTAGACATGCAACAAATAAAGTTTACATTTTGTGTGTGACTTGCTGTTCTTTTCTTTTACAATCATCATTTCCATCATTGAGTCCACGGTGAATAAAAACGCCGCAAATGCAAACTGTCTCAAGCAATAAGCTGAAGCCTTTCAATGATATTAGCTGGTGTTCAGGAGCTTTGGTTTGGTCTGGTTAATTGTGTGTTGGCTGACACTGGTCAGACCACAGCATGGATGGGACCGGTCTCTGTGGATGTTTAGCTGAGTCAGGCTTTGGGGCCATGCAGGAGTCTAGTTTGGGGTCCTGGCCGAAGCCCAGGTGTGGGCTATTATTTCCCATCTGGACAACATAACTTTGGTCCCCTGGGCCCAGCAGGGGGTGGGGCAAACCAAACCAGAACACGCAGTGCCCAAATTATCTTTACGATGTAATACTTAGCCTTGTGTTGCTGTGAAACCATTCAGGCATCAAAGAATTCACTCCATCTACTCTCCGTTTAAATTACTGCGCTCTTGAGCTGTAGGAATATAAACATTTGTGAAATAATTTTACCTATTTGCAAGGGGAAAATTTACATTTGCCCATTCTGAAATCTACTTAGAAAGGTTAGGAAATATTTTCTAAAATCTGGACATATAAAAAGATTGAAGTCTCATCATCAAAACAGTTCAAAATCCCAAAAACCAGCTAATCGTGCCGCCCTGATTTCTCCTAGATGCCATAATTCAGTATGAGCGCAATGCATACAATTGAGTTAAACCTCCACATTTAAAGATAACATTTCACTGGTCCTAAATACAAAACCAGACCAATTCAAGAATCAGACAGAACAAGATAAACACACTCCAATGACAACCCTCCCTTTTGTTCCCTGGGATTCTACAGGTCATGTACACTCTTTCACACCCATGCCACTCACATTATATTAACAAACAAACACACACACACACACACACACACACACACACACATACCTTTTCTTGGTGATAACCTGTGGGTTGTTTCAGCCGTCTAGACAGAGAGAATACGAGGACTTTTGGGAATGCTCATTGTAATGGAGACTCGGGTGTCAACAGCAGCAGCTGAGCCAGAAGCTCGCAGGGTAATCAGGAGCTATTTCTGAATTTTCTCAATATCATTTAAAGAGACATGCATCCATAAACATGATAGTGTTAAATGCAAGGCTATTGCTAGTCAATGGGGCAGGTGGTGAAAATAAAATAGTACTATTCCCTACCATCATGTAGACAATGTATCTACTGATAAAACTATGGCCGAGTCCCACTTAAAATCCAAACTCTCCTTTTAACCGCAGGGTCCAAATGTTCAAATGAAAGTGCCATAAAACCAAAAGCAAATGAATGACATATGAGGTTTCCCATTCTGCTAAAGTATTTTTGGAACCTGAATAATGCCAAGTAGCTTGTAAAAACCTTTTCTGTAAACACAAACTTGCAAACTATTATTTTCTTAAACACACCAAACAGAAGCAAGCACACCTCCGGCTGCTGCCTTTTTCTAATTAAACCTGTGACGGACTGCGGACTCTTAATTAAGCTTAATTAAGAGACGTGCAACGTACCTGCTATGCAACATGATGGCACTGTCATAGCTTTTGAAAACTGATTGATGCTTATGAAAGAAGTCTAAAAGGCCTTCCTCATTAAAAACATGCAACACCTTGTTAAATTCCTCCAGAAGCACAGACCATGTATTACCAAGTATTGTCTCGTTTATCAGAGCAGAACAGTTTGAACTGCATGCTCAATTAGGATGTGTTCATGTGTTTAATTGACAGGGTCTGAGCCAGAGAGCTGACGGACTCATTTAAGAAGAGGAGGCTGGATTGGTAGATTCTGACCAGCAGAGTAGCAAAATTGTTATTGGCCGCTGCGCAAATTTGTTTCTTGGGACCTCGCCCCAAACACAAACGTTGGCGAGCATCCACATGCACACACGCACAAACACACTCGCTGATATATGCAACCGCTCCAGACAACGGCTGTGCAATCACAGAGAGGCTGCCATCCTGCAAACATTTAAGCTTTGATCAGCGCCAGGGACTTTTTGGTGAAAATGATAAACAAAATAAGTTGTTACGTCTGCATCTCAAACTCACACACTTAATGTCACACAGTTTCATGGAGTTTTGGGACACAAGACAGCTTCTGGGCCCCTGTACAGCTGGATGTGTTGCATCTGCAATATTTGTGCCATTTGTTCTGATCCGACAGATTCACAGTCGGGCACGATCAGACAGAGTGCTTTTATTGCAGCCGCCCCAGGCTGTCATTAATTGTTTTTAATGAGAGTTAAGCGTTTTACTCGCTGCTTCGGGGGAGCTGAGTGCCTCTCGTTTTTGCAGAAGTTTGAAAAGACTTCAACTCAGAGTGGAAAAGCAGAAAATGTCTGTGTTTTTTCTCATTGTGGTGACTGTTGCTGGATACCCAGAGCTATATGACTTTACCAACCATAGTTACAATGATCTAAACAGAAACTCAGAAATTACTGAGGTATTGGAGATTTCGGAAAAGTTGTTTTTCATTTATCTGTTAGGTAGCGTACAGTTCACGGTAAGCAAATGTCAGCACTTGTTTAGTTGTTGCCTAGCAACAACAATAAAAAAGACACAGCAAATCTGTTTGGATGTTTTTAAAAAAAGGGCAGCAAAGGGCCTGTCTCTTTTTCAAGATGCAAAACACAGCCATGGCCAGGGGTTAGGGTCAGGGTTGTGAATTAGTGAAGACTCAATGGGGTTGTGTAACATCTGAGGCAAAGTAGTGGAAGGAAAGACACAACGCCAAAAATCGGCCACCATGGCAGATGTTTACCCATTATTTATTTCTGCAGTATTGGTAGGAGAGTTAAAGGAGGAAACCATAAAGCTTATTTTGGGACATTGCTGATTCCTGCCCCGAGAGGAAGGAGGCATCCGAGGATCCTTGGCTCCTGCACATCTGGAAACTGTGCAGTGGGACTACAGCACTGTTCACTATGAGTGTAATGCCTTGCTCAATGACCATGTAAAAGTAGATGTGACAGAAGGCTGTTACTCTGTGTTTGGATATTTCATTTAGTTATCAGAAAAGATAAAAAATGGTGGTCATTCATTCGTTTTTTGGAGGCTCATGAGATCCTCTTTCTTTCTTGAAGTGTTAATGATGTAGTCATTTCAAATCATTACTTTATTACACATGGCACATTAATTGCGAGCTGGTGTTGATAAATGTAAAAGACATTGTCACCAAAACATTGTTTTAGTGTGACTAAAGAAAAGTGGTGGTGTCAGAGTGGCAAACGTTCTATGCAATGATGTATACCCGGCTTTTCAACCTACTCCAGGAAACCACACACTATTCCAGACAAGTTTTCTCTGGCAGGTTTCTGCACAGAAAGTTATATATAGCCCTTGTATTTTGAAATAAAACACAACATGTACTTCAGCGAGTTCCCCTCAAATCTTATAAACTCCATATTCTGGTTTCTCTTTGTTGATTTTATCGGAACATTTTTCAACGCTCGGTGTGAAGTTCGGTACAATATTCCAGTACGGAAGAAGGCATACTGTAAATACAAATCTTGGTGCCATTGGCTATTTTCAGTCCATGAATGGCTAAGATAGGAAGTGAATAATATTGAAAGGAATGCAATTGTTTCCCTGGCACTTCAAAGGAAACAAGAAACACTCGGAGAATGATGAAATAGGTTATTTTGTTAGAAACAAATCATGATTGCAATTTACTATGAATGGAGTAATCTGGCTGTTTTTGGCAGTTGGTAAGAAAACAAACCATTAAGACATACTAAGCAAGCTGACCTCTATGTCAGTGTTTGTATTACTATTTCCTTAAACCGGAAAGGTTTAAGGAAAGTTTGCATTTAGTTTGTGAGTAATGGTGGTTCGAAAATGAGTTTATTACATTAGAAACCATCATGTGAATGGATTACACAAGCCGCAATGCTGAATCGGGCCAAGTTTGTAAGATGGGGCAGTTATGGGGCAACGGCCCCTTCCTCACTTCCTACCACGGGGCACTCCTGGCTCCCTTGCGGACCACAGGAATATTCAAATCAACCTTCATTTTCATCTAATCAACACATATTTAAAGATAAAGACAACCAAAATTGCTGGACATTTGAATTGATGCATCACTAATAAATGAAGGGAACCAAACCTTAACATGCGCACATTTCTGGGCTGAAGTTTATGTATAATCAACTCCTGCGTGTAAATGTGATCGTGATCGTGCCTTTCCATTGGTCTTGTGCAATCACGACCCTCCAAAATTCAGTTTGTATTCTTTCTGAACACCCAGTAAGAGTTCTGCTCAATACAATACCTGACCCTGACCTACTGAATGAGAAGTTTAAATCCCACCTTCTTTGGAGATCAATGCTTTGAAAATTCCTTCGTGTATAGTCACGATTTAAAAGGAGACGTTTTACCAGCATGTCCCTCCGCTCCAGTGAAGCCAGCCCTTCCTCGCTCTCTCTCGCTCTATGTATCATTACACACGCACGTTTTGTTGGAAACAATCACTGAAACACTGCCACAAAAAACTGTAGTGTGATGCGTTTTCCAGCCTTCAGGATTCATAAACAGACGAGGAAATTATATAAAGGTTTGTTTGTTTTACAGAGGTTACTTCTCTGCAGAGCCTCCACAAATTATTAAGAGTCATAAACACAGCATAAATTAAATATCCTTTTTTTTTAGTCCAAAAAAGGGCCCAAAATGTTAATTTTACAGTTTAAACGCTGTCATTTTAAATTGTCCTGGAACAAGTCCCTCACTTTTGAGGAGGCTCGTTATGAACCTTTCATAACTAAAAGACTTAAACATTCAGAGCAATGCTTGTACCCTCAGCTATGCTGTTTGATGGAACCCTCAAAGACAAACATCACAGCTACAGAGAGCATCAACATGCTGTAGCAATAATGAGAATTAGTATAATGTAATGTGCTGTACATCTGCTTGAATAGGATTAGTCAACTGGCACCAAACAGCTGAAGAATAAGTCAGGGATTGTGATGCATGAATGAAATCAGTGAAAGCTGGAGCCAGTACCGCATTTTGAAAATAATTATAACAGGATATCCTGTATAGACTCGCCAATAAATACAATAGCACAGCAAAGGCATAATAGATAGGTCTATTCTACTGGTTGACCTGTGACACTTTACCATCACCGAGCCGACCGTGAACAGTCTTTATATCTCTCTATTCTGCCTTCCCTATTATTTGCTAAACTCACTCACATTACATATCAGAGGTTCCAAACAGAATCCTGCACTCTGTCTAACTGGCAAAGGTTGTATTTACTTGCGACATTACTAGACTGTCACCCGGCAAGGTGAAAATCAAGTACAGAAAAAAAATTAAACACAATTAAATGTATTGTTTTAAGTAGGACAGTATCAAGGATTTTGTTTGCAAGAAATTCCTTAGAACCATTGAATAATTGGAGCTTTGCGGTCCATTGTCAGAAGGGGGGATTCAGGCAAATAATCATCTTGGTTTGATAGAGTTTCTGAAATCGAAATAACCCAGAGTGAAATGGACGACCATGAAACTTGAGTTATTAAACACGAGTCATCTAATGCATTATATTACATGTATTTTGAATAACACATAACAGTTTGAGCGGAGGCCTCAAGGCCCTTTCGAAAGCTTCCATGGTTTCACTCTGCTATTTCACTTTGTTTTGAACTCGTAGCAAAGAAATGCCAAAAGAATCAGATCAGTCACAACCACATCAGTCTTGTTTCAAACAAAAGAACAGGCTTCCATGAATGATTTATTTGCTCTGAGATCTGTGACGCACAAACTCCGAAGCACACACACTCACAAGCAGACTCACACACGCAGACACCTAAACAAGAAAAACTGTACATGCACATAATGGGTCAACCGTGGTATCGTCATGTGATAATGGAAGTTCCAGTCCCAAGTACAGGCTTCCATTTGTGGGGACCAGAGCAAATATTATGACTAATTAGTAACAAGATTGATTGTGCCAAATGTTCCCCACGGAGTAAGCTCTTACGTCCAGTGAGGATATCCCATCGTACCTTTTCCAAGAAAGCACTGTAAA